GGGCCGGCGGGGGCCGGGGGCCGTGGGCCGGGCCCGGGGCCGGCACCCCAGGGCCGGGGACAGCCTGGGCTGCGCCTCCTCCCCCCCACACTCCCCCTTACCTGCTTCAGGCTTCCCGCGACTCAAATGTTCGCGGGAAGCAGGGGAGGGGGCGGAGACTTTGGGGAGGGGGCGGAGTTGAGACGGGGGGTGGGGGCGGGGCTCGGGGTGGGGCCGGGGCCCCGTGGAGTGTCCTCCTTTGGGAGGCACAAAATATGGTAACCCTAGACTAACAGATTTATTTGGGCAGAAGCTTTCGTGGGTTAAAAAACCCAGTTCTTCAGATGCACTTTTTCAAATCTGTTAGCCTTTAAGGTGCCACCGGACTCCTGGTTGTTTTTGTGGATACAGACTAACACGGCTACCCCTCTGATACTTGAAATTATAGTTGTTAGTCACCCCACCATGTTTTGGGTCAGAATTTAGAGGATTTTAGTACAGTAATCTACACTTATTTTCTAGTTTATAAATTTCGTTAATTAAGGGGAGAAATATGTGTAGGGTTGGTATTTTGTGTGGCTTGGTATAGCATAAGGTGTGCAATTTAATGGGCAGATTTTCAAAGTTGTGCACGTAGCAAATGCAAGCACATTTAATTTTGTGTGCACAATTATCACAACTGTGAATGTAACACGAATAATTAAGCATATAAGCAGCCAGTTGGGTGCATAGTAGGCCCGTTGCACATGATGCTGAATTGCAGCAATTGCACACACACATTAAATGTGCTTGATTGTTTGCAGACCTTTTTTGCAAATCAAACCAGAGTCTACCTTAAAAATCTACCTTCAATTGGTGGCAGCCAATTTACATCTGTCTCTGTATACAGGAAGATAGTTGAATAAAACAAGAGCTTTCTTAATGATGTGCAGCTGGCATGTTACTGAATTTTATTTATTTTAGGGTCTACTTAAGTTTGGAAGTTAGTACATTTCAATTACACACATACACACCATACAACATTGTGTGTGTGCACTCCTCAGTTCTAGTCATAAACACACAATGCTGTTTGCATGCTCCTCTGTTCTAGCTCTGTTCATATATACACAATGCTGTGCCCCTCCATGGTGTGTAGGCAGGCACAGCGCTCCTTGATTCCTGTTATATACACATGCATTCTATGCACCGCAGTTCGATTTTCATGCATGCATTCTCTGCACCTTAGATCTAGTTTGTCGCACATACACACAGCCTCTCTTCTCAGCTTGCTCTTCTCTGTCTCTCACCCACTGTCTCGCTCGCTGCCACTAGACACTGGATTGCTCAGCGATGAACTCTCTTTTTGCTCCTGGACAGCTTCAATGGACAGCCATGTGATTTAGAAACTCCAGTTACCACAGCAGCCTGCAGTACGGGGGGGGTAAAAGGAGGAGGAGTGGAGCAAAAAGAAAAAAAAGAGCTTTCCTGCTGTTTGGGCTCAATCTGTGGAAATATAGCTTGCTAAGTAGAGGTTTCCAATCTCATCTGAGATTGATCTGGAGGCCACTGGGGGAGTGGAAACCTGGGACCTAAAAGTACCTTTCCTTTCGTCCCCAACACAGTGGTAGCTTCCATTCAGAAGTCTCTACGATTCACACACTGGGTGGCTGCTGAGCCCCGCAGATAACGGTGAAGGGAATACTTAGGTGCCAGTTGATTCATACCAGGAGGGCTCTTTATTTTTCTTTGTGGTTCCAGTTTTTTTCCCTCCCCGTCTGTCTTTCTTTCCTGCATGGAAAGACAAGGACGATGGATGGATTCTTGGTAGGATGGATCGTTCTGCTGTGGGTAACAGGTAAGGGTTTGCCTACCACAAAGATGAATAACTTTTTGGATTCCATGGGGTGCCGCTTGTGTCTTTTCCTGGAGCCTGTGTGTGAAAGTCCTTGGCGACGCGGAGCAGTGGTGGGGGGAGGATTACATCTGGTGATGATGTGAGTAAGAGACATGCAGAGAAATGCAGGGTGAATGTGTGTTTGTCTCAGTTAGCAAAGTCTGGTGTGTTGTTTATCAGGGTCATGGAAGTTAGAGGCAGGAATGCATTGTTAGGTCACAGTCAGTGCTGCTCCCTGCCAGCGTTCTCTCTTTTACACATTCCCTCCCACCCCCAGCCTTCTCCCTCCCAACTTCAACATGAAATTCGAATGCAGCTGGGCTTTGGGTGTAGGGTGTTGGAGAACGATTCAGGAGAACTGGGGTGATCACCTCCCACTGGGAGAAAGGAGAAACCTGGGGGAGTCCTCTCTGATATTTTTGCAGTGGTTTGTATTCTTTGGCCAAAATCCAAGGTTTGAGAAGTCCCTTGGGGGCCTACAGGAGGACAGATAGAGGTGAGATTGATCAGCAATATCTATGGGGAGAAGGCTTCTGATATCCTGAAAGCCTCACTGCATGCCCCCAAAAGATAGTGGTCACAGAGATTTGGGGCTTAAGGGTTAGACTGTGGTCCTAACACTGAAATGGTGCATGGCTAATGGGTCAGAGTGGCAGCTCTCTGCCTTCCAGGTGAGTGGGCCAGGGAGGTATTGCTCTCTTTCTGCTTCCTCCTGGCTAGGGGACATCGGTTGCTCCCAACTTCCTCCTTCCTCCCAGGGTGGCATCACCCTCCTCTCAGGTTGGTGTTGCTTTTGCTGCATCCCTCTCCCCACCTCACTTTGAGCTGAGAGACTCAGAGGGAGATTGCTCCCTACCAGACAGTGTTAGATTGAGAAATTCCCTCTGACGTTCCCTGTCTGATAACTTTGGGTCTGATGTGTGTGGCTGGGACCAGAGCGACGCTCAGGCGCTTCTGTCCTAGGATGCTGACGACGGTGCCACTGTGGATGACTGTTAACTGGGGTGAGCAGGAATTGGGGTGTTTGGTGGCGGAGGATTGCTTCAGTGGGTTGGTGTGTGGGAGTATGAAAGGGAGGTATTGGGCTTTGGGGAGGAGACAGTGTGAACTCAGAGGAACAGATTGTCCTTGGCTGCTGTGCCAGAGGGATAGCACAGGGAGCCTTTGCTCCCCAGTGGACACGCCCACGCTAGGGCCAGGAACAATTGTAGGAACTGCTCCCTTCCGGCGCTCCTGGCAGCACACACACCAGTCCAAAGGGGTGTGAAGGAGGCAAGGCTGCGTCCACCCTCTCATTGGCTCACGCAGGGGTCCAGGCCTGCTGTAGGGAGCACCCAAAGACAGGGCAGCCTGCATGCTTCCCTTATGAACTGGGGAGGGACTATGACTGCACAAGCCCTCTCCCAACTTCACATGGGATGGGTGGCTCTTGCTTGTCCTCCTCAGGGCAGTACTTAGTTGGCATAGTCTAGCCTACATAGAGCCAATGGGAAACAGAACCTGAGAGCAAAGGGGGAGTGGGGCTCGAGAAGGGGCAGAATGGGCAAGGGGAGAAAGAGACAACAAAGAACAGACTGAAAATGGGGCTAGGAGCAAAGGCTAGTTAGGGAGGGAAAGGAGAAGGGAGAAACAGCAGGATGAGTCTAACCGAATAGTCACATAACAAGTCATGGAGGAATAGCAGCCCCTTGTCAGTCACAGGTAGGAGGTGCTGCCTCTCAAGGAGCCAATGCAGGCAAAGGCAACTGCAGGAGTAGTAGGGAAAGGCCACCGTTGCCTGACCTAATCAGGGAAACTGAAGTAAAAAGAAAGAAAAGAAAATGAGGTCAGAGAGAGAGGAGTCACATTTTTTTAATTTAAAATGCTTCTAGGTGGTATCTGGTTTTCCGAAGTTTTCCCATGAAAGGACCCTCAGACTTCCCACTCCTACCCAGATTCAGGATTCAGACAGCAAAAACAGCCTCTCCTTACAGCACCTCTCTCTCCCTCACCCACCCACCTTCCGTCCCTTCCCCCTCCTTTTTCATTCTGAGTCATTTCAGTGCCAGTGCTTCCTACAGCTCCCTACCATGTCTCCATTGCATCAGTTGGGGCTTAGGCAGCTTCCAATCCTCCACCTCCTCCTCTCAGCTGGTGCCGTAGTTTAACATTTCAATATGTGGGTTTAGAGCTCTTGCACTTCCAAAATTACCACTACACTAGTGCCTGCCTGCTTACAGTGGGGTACTGATATCCCCCCCCCCCCCACCATGCCTGTCTAAAGGAGCCCCGGCCTGGTGGTTAACAACAAGGTATTAAATTTTCTCCCTTCTCAAAGAGCTTCCTATCTGGGCATGATCTGCTGGCTAACACCATGGAATAGATTTCCCCTTTCTGAAGGACCTGCAGATCAGGATAGTCCAGCTGCTACCATAAGAGTTTGCTGATATTTCTTCCTTCTCAAGGAGCTCCAGAGCAGGACATTCCCAATGATCTAACACTGGGCAATTGACAAAGTTCCCTTTTTTAAAGGAGCTTTTAAAGGGCACTGACTGCAGTTTGGAGCAAGTGAGACTGGTATGGAACAAGAGTTACTACTGCAGTAAGACGGCCTTCCAAGCTTGTCTGGTGCTTGATTTTCAAGATGTTACTGATTGGCGCTGACTGTCAGTAGATAAAGGCCTTAAAACAGGCAACAGGTTAGCAGTTGCTGGTGTGCTGATGGATTGAGGGCATCCTTTGTTGCTGAGCTGGACTCTGTGAATGAGTTCAATATCAGCTTTCTTCCCTCCTGCCCTCCATCCACTGTCTCCCAGTGCTTGTGCAGGTCCTGTGAGTCTCCTCTCAGTGGGGAGAAAGCAAAGGGATGTGTGTGAGAGTGTGTGGGGGAGAGAGACTGATTGACAAACACGGATGCAAGCTTTAGTTCTCCCCACTGGCCAAGCAGAGGAATTAAAGGTCTGTATCGAGGTAAGGAATTCCAATTCAGCCAAATCAGCAAATTCATTCTCTGGAAAAAGAGAGTGGGAGTGGGGGAAGGAGAGGGAAGGGCAAAAGAAAGAGCGGGTGAGACAGAGAGGATGCAGAGAGACAAACATAAGAGAGAAACAGATTCTCGCCCCCTCTACTCCCCACCTCCTTCCCTTAGGTGGGCTGAGAAATTTCAAATCAGTACTCACAGTTCCTTTCCTCCCAGCAGCTAATTCCTCTCTGTCCTTTGTCTGCCTTTCATTTTCGGCCCCTGCATTTATCTTTTGTTTGGTTCTGTGCATTGTGATTTCTTACTGCAATTTCAAAAAATCCTGTGTCAATTCCAGTGGGTTTGGTTGGTTTTTTCCTGCCCCCAAGTGCCTGACAGCTGGTGTTTTAGTGACAGCATTGAAAGAATAAAGGGTCGTTTCTTGTTTATTCTTTGCCTGAAGGTGGTAGTGAGGATATTCTCCCCACATTCTGGAAGGACAGGTACAATTTGTTGAACACCTTTGAGCTCATTAGCAAGTTTGGCCCAGGTACTGTAAACCTGCTGGCTGTCACTGGGTTATGGAGTTAGCCTCCTGCAGTCAGATTTGTTTCTTTTATTATTTTAAGTGAATTTGGTGCTGGTGAAAGGTGCAGCCTTTGAGACTGAGGTCCTCCGTTTATCTATAGAACAGGCACGACATGGGCAGCAACAGAGCAAAGGGACTACATCTAGGAGAGCGTCCAAACTAAGTACTTGATCTTCAGCTCTCTGTAAGATCACTGCATTGCTGTCCCTTAATGCTACCCTACAAGGACAGTGGAGGATTCCCCTAACATGGAGGAATCCTTGGATGGTATAAAGCCACCATTAGCTGGCTTTACTCTCTCTGCTTCTCCAACCCCAGCTGGGTGGGTGTGCTAGGGCTGGTTGGGGGCAGTGCTGGATTGGCCCCAAGGGAACTGCTCTAGCTGCTGTAAGTTAGAACAGCACTCTAGCCAGCTTTGCCTTCCCCCACTCAGCTGTGCCAAGCATGAGCTAAGTGCAGCTGGGTACTGACCTGTGTGCATTTCTTACCTATTATACCCAACGGGTTGCACGTGAGTGGTGCTAGCACTGGTGGAAAATACTAGTGTACTCAAGTGCTCCGTCAGAATAGCGGTCATGGATGGCCTATTCAGTTCTCAGGCTCCTGGTTGGGACTAACATTTATTGGCAATTCCGAAAGTGGTTTCTATGATGTAGGGTTGCCAACATTGTATTTCAAAAGCAAGGGACTGTTTTCTTAGCACCCTCACCCCCCCTCTTCCCGATATTGTTATCATTATTTTCATCACCATTAATTAATTATTATTATTAATAATAATAATAATAATAATAAGCACCACTCACCTACATTCACCAAGGGTATTTCTTGTTGCGTTTTGCAGCACTCAAAAACTCCCAATCTTGCTTCACAGAGATGAAAAAATAAAGGACATCTGTTGTAATAAGGGACTGTTGGGAACCTACTGTGATCGTGAGCTGAGACCACATAGCAGATGCCATGAAACTACTATAAGATGGTAGTGACTTTCAGTCAGTAATGGGATGGCTGGTATTTGATCCCGTGAGTAGACCTGTATTAATATTTTACTTGAACATATACCCATGGGTTTGAGGAATATAACAAAGGGGCAGCAGTGTGAAGTTGTCAGGAGTGAATGTCACATGATTCAGAGAGTTTAATGAGGTGGGTAGATTATTGATGAGAGGGTGACCCCTGGTGGATCCCTGACTCTTGTAAAAGGTCTGGGATAATCCTGAGCATTGCAGGGATTGTTCAAGCTCGTGCTGCAGTGCAACCCTCCAGTGAAGTCAGGAGCATGGAGCCACATCGAAGTGAATGGGGAAAGTCAAGGAAAGGCCAGTGTCTACTGCCATTTGTTAGGTTGAAGAATCCAGATTAGATTCTAGGCCGAATGTTTTCATAGTGGGGTTCCATGGCCTGGGACTCATGATTTACACAGTTTGTGCCTTCTTCTGCCCACCTTTCCTTCTTTGTCCTGTGAATTTAGTGGTGATTTGGCTGTGGCTCTCGCTTTGTCCATGGAACCACATTTAGTCAAGCACACTTCCTCATTAATACTTTTTCTTTATTAGGAAACAAGCTTTTCCTGTTATTCACAGGTTTATTTTTTTGAAGCTTATATTTCTTAAAATTTGCTGTTGCAATTGTGTCACTTGTAATTTTTTTTCTTTCTCCTGCTGCCCTTTGACCACGTACACACAGCCTGACCAGACTTTAGCACGTACACAGTTTTCTTGACCAGAGTTTAGGCCTACTCAATTTTCCTTTCCAGTCTCTTACCAGCCATCAATCAGATAGTAATGACTTTTGGAAGGTACTTAATTGGACTGGATTCAAACCAGCAATCAAGAGGTGAAAGTCTCTATATAACATTCCAAATCCCTTTAGTTATGTACTCACTGGCTCTCATCTTCTTTACTCATAGAATTTTAAGGCCAGAAGGGACCATTTTGCTCATCTAGTCTGACCTCCTGCACATTGCAGGCCACAGAAACTTACCCACCCACTCCTGTAACACACACCTAGCCTCTGGCTGAGTTACTGAAGGCCTCAAATCATGATTTAAAGATGTCAAGTTACAGAGAGTTCACCATTTACACTAGTACAAACCAGTAGGTGACCCATGCCCCAGGCTGCAGAGGAAGGTGAAAAAAACCCCAGGGTCTTTGTCAATCTGACTTGGGGAAAAATTCTTCCTAACCCAAATATGGCCGCAGTTTGACCCTGAACGTGTGGGTGAGACCCACCAGCCAGATACCTGGAAAAAAATTCTCTTTAGTAACTCACAGCCCTTCCCATCTAGTGTCTCATCTTCGGCCATTGAAGATATTTGCTAATAGCAGTTGCAGGTCATATGTCATTGTAAGTAATCTCATTATAATATCCCCTCTATTAACCTATCAAGCTCAGTCTTGAAACCAGTTAAGTTTTTTATCCCCACTGCTCTCCTTGCAAGGCTGTTCTAGAACTTCACTCCTCTGATGATTAGAAACTCTTATCTAATTTCGGAAATAAACTTATTGATGGCCAGTTTATAGCCATTTGTTCTTGTGCCAACATTGGCTCTTAACTTAAATAATTCCTCTTCCTCCCTGGTGTTTATCCCTCTGATGTATTTGTAGAGAGCAATTATATCTCCCCTCAGCCTTCGTTCTGTTAGGCTAAATAAGCCAAGCTCCTTAAGTCTCCCCTCATAAGGTATGTTTTCCATTCCTCTGAACATCCTAGTAGCTCTTCTCTGTACCAGTTCCAGTTTGAATTCATCTTCCTTAAACATTATTCCAGATGAGGTCTTATCAGTGCCTTGAATAATGGTAATAATGCTCCTCTGTTTCTACTGGAAATACACCCTAATGAATTTTAGGCTTACATTAGCCTTTTTCACAGCTCAGAGTTATTTTGTGATCAACCAGTACACCAAGGTCTTTCTCATCATCTGTCGCTTCAAAATGAATCGTCCTCTACTTATAGCAGAAATTCTTGTGGTTGGTCCCTAAGTGCACGATCTTGCACTTTGCACTATTAAATTTCATCCCATTTCTATTACTCGAGTTTTCAAGGTTGTTCAAATCTTCTTGCATGATATTCTGTTCCTTCTCGTGTTGGCAATACCTCCCAACTTTCTGCTATCTGCAAATTTTATTTGCACACTTCCATTTTTTGTGCCAAGGTCAGCAATGACAATGTTAAATAAAATTGGTCCCAAGACCAATCTTTGAGGAACTCCACTAGTAACCTCCCTTCAGCCTGACAGTTCACCTTTCAGCATGACCCATTGTAGTCTCCCCTTCAACCAGTTCCTTAACCACCTTTTGATTCTCATATTCATCTACATCTTCTCCAATGTAACTAATATTTCCAGTGTGGAGCTGTATCAAATGCTTTATTAAAATTCAGGTTATCTTCTCAAAGAAAGAGCTCAGGTTGTCTGGCACTATTTGCCTTTTGTAACACCATGTTGTATATGATCCCAATTAACGTTTACCTCTATGTCCTTAACCACTCTCTTTCAAAATTTGTTCTAAAATAGGGGTCGGCAACGTTCGGCACGCGGCTCACCAGGGTAAGCACCCTAGCGGGCCAGGCCAGTTTATTTACCTGCTGACGCGGCAGGTTCAGCCGATTGCAGCCCCCACTCGCCACGGTTCGCCATCCCGGGCCAATGGGGGCGGCAGGAAGCGGCGCGGGCCGAGAGATGTGCTGGCCGCAGCTTCCCACCACCCCCATTGGCCCGGGACGGCGAACCGCGGCGAGTGGGGGCCCGTGATCGGCCGAACCTGCCG